ACGGTAGGCTTCAGTATTTCACACAATATTCTCGACAGGCCACGGTAATTGGCACAGACTGTGGGGTCCCCTTTTTATGGATTGTGCGGAGCACACTTGAATTCCAATCGACGGGCATGCTTTCGACCGACGATTATCTGCAAAATAGCTGATGCATGCAGCTTGTCATCTCTTCACCGCCATGTTTAAATAGTTCTGCAGGCAGGCCGTCAGCTCCCGCCGCTTTGTTGTTTTTTAAGCGGGCAATGGCTATTCGAACTTCTTCATGGCCAGGTAATGGACCGTCTTTTCCATTATCATCGATTGGGGTTTCAGGTTCACCATCTTCGAATTCTCCACTTTCACTACAATTCAACAGGTTGGAGAAACTTTCACTACATTAATTCAATATACTCTAGGCACCGGTGGCCAGATCACCGGTCTTGAAACCTTCCGTAAGTCGTCGTATCTTCTCATAGAGTTTTTGAGCATAACCCTTGTCGGACAGTTTACTTTACCCGATCGAAAATCGTACCTGCTATTCCACTGAAAAAGGGTCAGACGGTAACTGCAAAATGCTACACCGAAGAGGATTTGCGGCGCTAATTTTCACATCATGACAACGCGCCATTCCATACTGCTGAAAATAGGTATAATTTCATTGCGATTTCTGGGATCAAAGAAATACATCCAGCATCATATTCCTCGGATATCACACCTTGGAATTTATGATTATATCGTATATACCTTTTATGACCACACCAAGCCTGGGGTATTTCATTTCGGTATTAAATATTAATTCTAATGTCTGAGAAATTTAGTGTACGAGGGTTATATGATATGGCACTCCGATTTTAAAGATTTTTGGGAAAAATGTTTACGAGTAGATACGAAATTATAATTTTTTACTCTAAAGTGCGTTTTTCACAGATTTTAACTGAGAAAAATGTTATTCATCAAATGTGGGTAAAATATCAAATTTCATGCTTTTCGACAGATTTAGGACCCAATATCTCAAAACTGAATAATCGATCATATATATATATATTACAGTGATTCTAGCTGCTCAATTTCGATAAATAATAGTTTGAATGTAAAAACTCATCTGCGTACTTTCAATGCATTAAATATCTTAGAAACCGGGAGGCTACGTTGCGTACAACCAGACGGATCTGACTAAATCCACTCAGCTTGTCATTCTTGTCATATCGGTATAAATTTTATCTATCTCTTCTTCTTCTGGTACTTATAATACAAACTGCGGATCAAAGTTAAAATGCGCATATATATAAAAGTTAATACATATATATCTTTATATAAATGGCGTTTTGTAGCCCCTGAAGGGATTTTGTGATATTCGGTCGAGAACCTCCTACAATTAGTTGCGAAATTGAAAAATTTATTAATTATTATTTCTTGTCATAAATACACTCAGAAGTGATACATTAAATTAAGTTTTTATTCAAATTAATTTTCTATAGGACTCGAACCCTCGCATTCCGAATGGTAGCAAGTATTGTCTTCCTGGTCTTCCAAATGCCAACTACTCGGCTATAATGGCGGCCAGAGTTCATGTACATGAATTATATAAAAATGAGCCAGTTTAATAAAAGTGCCGTTACTGTTAAATATGATGACGCGAAAGACAGAAAAACCCAAAGAAGGTATATAGATAGCAATGGGGCACCATTCTTTTCTGTCTTATAATTTCTATCCAATTACTTGGTTTAATCTTAAAGTCCTTAGAAACGCTCACAGGTTCACGGTGGTAATGTATTAATACTGCCGCATGACTCCTTGATGTGCAGAGCTTTTTCTACTTACGGCTTCGCACTGCAACAATATGAACTCGGATTCCTCGGAATTTAGCTTCATCAAAGCTAAGCTTAAGATTTTATGTTTCTCATTTTTTAGTTCTTATTTTACTGTTTGAGAACTCTTAGGGGAAAGGAGAGTAGGCGAGATTGAGGCCGCTGAATTTTGCGCGTTATTTCATTGTTTTTAATAGCAGTATGTCTCGGAACACAAATAAGCCGATCGGTATAATTAATATTCTCTCGCCACATTAGAATTCTGACTCATTCGCATACCATTTATTTAAATAATCATATATGATAATGTCGCTTTTCTATGGAGTTTATTTTGAAGCTCATAAGCCATGCACCAATTTCTTTTGCAACCTGCGATCCAAGTATGTGCCACACCTATGAGTGTGTTTATCTCTCTCTCTCTCTCTCTCTCTTTCTCTCTCTCTCTATCTCTGTCTCTCTCTATTTCTCTCTCTCTCTTTCTCTCTCTCTCTATCTCTGTCTCTCTCTCTATTTCTCTCTCTCTGTACCTCTCATTCTCGCGCTCGTTCTCTCTCTCTCTCTCGGATTGATTTCATGACAATGTTTCACCTGAATTTATCGTAATTTGTACTTCTGTTATTTCTATACTGTTGAAGGAGCGCAAATTTAGTCTTGACTTTGCGTAGACAGTGAGACTCTGTTGGCTGGCGAACCTTTAGTCCAACCAATAGCTCGTCGAAAAGAGTCCGAGAGTGAGCAAAGAAGGTTGCTTTTGATAAACGGTTATTAAATTCAGTCTCCCCCATTAGAAGATCTGATTAATTTAACTCAATATTCTAGCACAAGATATGCATTCAGCATCTTGACTGTTGCCAGTTAAGAAGATACGTAAACAGATTTACCACATTTTCTACTCTACTTGCTCCCCAGATGAATAGCTGATGGAGGACATTGCACTACAGTAGTGGAATGACTACGAAACTCACCACGTTGTAAAACAATCCTTTAAAGTTTAACGGAAAGTGAGGGGTTATACCCATAATCTCAAAGAAAATTTCCTTGCCAGGAGAAGGAAGTTGACTTTGTTATTGGCATTCAGAACATAGCTAAAATATTTAGGAAACCCATAATCCGAACAAAAACTAAACACTGAGTAATAAATCAGCCAGCGACAACCGCTTATAGACAGAAGAGCCGACAAAGCGCATGCATCAGCTCTTGTTCAAGGTACGATCAAACGAAAGCCTGACTAATTATATGAAGCTAAATGTACTCTGCCTAGTCCAATAGAACGAGAACGTTACAAACAGTGCGAACTATTGTGGGTTTAGTCTCTTTTTCAGCCACAAACAAACTTGAGCCCTGCTCCGACCAACATCCCAAGCCATATAAATTTAATTTTTTTATTTGCGGCCCTCGATAGGGCAGGTCAAATCTTTCGAAAGTACTTGGGACATGAGATAAAAGCTCCTCCTAAAGATCAAGATGAAAAATCAACCATCAAAAGATGGTAAGGGTTGAATAAATAATAGAAAAGTAAAAAGGTCTTTCCCCTCGAAGCATAATTGTGATGACATTGGATGAGGTTTCCAGAAGTCGTGCCAATTGCAGAAGCCCAATTTCGTCATCATGCTGTTAATACCTCCCAATGTCCTTATGAAACGTAATTTCGGTCATGTGATCCTTCTATTTCGTCGGTGGTGTGAGCACGAATCAGTGATATGTTAAATATTTCTATTTCATCTTTGTGATGGGAGGAAAACTTTATTTGATCTCTAAGCTACATAGATGGTAGTGACATCAGTCTTCACTTCGACGGTAACATCAATAAACTGGACACTGACTACTAGGATGGCCTAATTTCACGGTTTCAGTGATCGTCATCAATAGAGGTGTTTCTCGACCCGAGGTACGGCTGTTTTTTTATTATACTTTTAATATATTGTACTTGAACTGGTACATTAAGTTTGGTCCCATTTATTATTTACCAATCGGGTCAGAATGACGACTTAAGCTAACCGCCAAGTCCGTCTGTTTATTTGCAATCTCCTTCTTCAGTTTTGAAATATTTCAACTGAGCTTGTAACATAGATCCATTGGAACATTCGAACAATCATTTGCTGGTACTGGCCAGATCGCAACCATATGGCGAATACGAGTATATATGATCGAATTTTCAGATTTGAGATTTTTGATGGATTACAACTTGGTGCCGAAAATGATCGAAATCGGCCTACGATAAAATGTAAACTAAATCCTTCATAGAAGCATCTGGAATCTTGAAAGGTGGTGTTATACACACATATTTATAAATAAACATCAACACCGTAAATCATAGAAATCGGTATACTTCATCATATAGCCCCTCCAAACAATTTTTCAGATACGAGAATTATTATTCAATTGACCAAGTGTTTCACACGCTTTCTGGGTGTGTGGCTAGAACGCAAGAGTAGGTCTGGATTAAAGTCCAGCATTGAAACACTACCTCTCTCTCTCTCTCTCTCTCTCTCCCGCTCTCTCTCTATCTCTCTCTCTCTCTCTCTCTCTCTCTATCTCTCTCTCTCTCTCTCTCTCGCTGCCTCTCTCTTTTCTTGTACACACCCGTCTGATAAAACCAAACTCGAAATAAGAACACACACTTTTATTTCCCATAATCGAAACAATTTCAAAAATTTATTACATTTTATTTATTAAAACTACAAATTTATATGCATGTTAATATTTATTTATGGTTATTAATTGTTAATTTTAGGAGAAGAATTCCGGAGAAAGGCAAAGAAACTGAGAAAAAAATTCTATGAATTTCACAATTTTATATAAAAGTAATTTAATCTAAATTGAATATCGGAAAAAAATTAATCGTTATTAAATTTTGAGTAAAATATATTCGTACATATATTTTCTTGCTGCATGTGTGTTATATTATAGGTAAATATGTTGACAAAACAAATATAAACAAACACATTTTGTGTACACTAGTATAACAAAAACAAAAATAAATGAAAACCAAAACATTTGGCAACGATAATTGATTTTACTTTATATGAAATTGCTTGTAAATTGCTCTCGTAGACAAGCCACATACATATTTAATGGGTTTATTTTAGATATTGTATATGTATGTATAAATTATAGATATGTAGCACTTGTACTATAGACAATTTCTTTTGTGCTTTCGATTGTTGGTAGTTCGCAATAATTGTTATTACTTTTTAATTTTAAATATTCATTTATTTTTATTATTTTTCGCTTTGCTTTAGAAGACTTGCACACGATGATTCTCACGATCGCATACCAAAATATTCCCGTTCGACATTATGCCAACACCTTCGAGTCCTTTGAATTCCGTTTGGCCGGAACCCCATGAGCCGAAGGTTTTCAAGAATGTGCCATCCGGACTATAGATCTGTATGCGATTATTACCCGCATCGGCGATGACAATATAACCTTGGTCATCCACAGCGATGCCCCTGCGTGGAATAGAAGGAGGATACAGAGTTTTAATTATGTACTTAAGCACGAGTATATGGGATAAACTAAAATTTATTTAATTAAACGAATATTTCATTTTACCGTGGGAATTTAAGCTGGCCATCGTCGGAACCTTCGGAACCGATTATTTTTAAAACTTTTCCGTTGACGTCGAAAATCTGAAAAACAAAATAAAAATATATAAATGTAGTATTTAATTTTTTTAAGTAAAATGTGCTAAAAATAAATTTTTTTTTAATAAAAAATTTAAATTTAAAAAGTTATTTAAGATGAGCAAAGCAAAAGGTTCTCATATCTAAGCACGACCTTCTTAAAAATTTTACTGAACATAAAATGTGGTTTAACATAAAATATTGAAGAAAACATTAAGTTTAGCATAAAATCTTCTCATATATAAAATATTGATTATAATGCTGCCAAGCATGATATTTGGCTAAACATAAAATATGGCTTAATATAATATATTGACAAATGTTCGAAGAGACATAAAATATTGATGATAATGCTGCCACACATAATATTAAGTTAAACACAAAATATGGCTTAACATAATATATTGATACGTATTAATATTTGAAGGCAAACTTAATGCTATAATCGTTTCTTATAACGAGAACGTTAATTTTATCATTTTAACACGAAAAATCTATACCGTGAGGGTCTTCTCCTTAATCTAGAATGACCTGACATTCACTGCCCATTAGAGGGGCATTCAATCTATATTCAACGGACCCTTCGGATATCGGTGATAATGGCTACTTACTTCCGAAAATGACCCTACCGCACTTGACAATTTCCTAAACTCTTTCTGACTGAAAAAATAGCCATCGCAAGGTCTAACTGCGTTGGGTGGCCAAAGAATCAAAATAATCAAAACAAACCAGCCTCGGAATACTGCAGTGGTAAAAAGTGCAGTCGCTGAATACGAAAAAGAAACAAAACTGTTTCAAAAGTCCTCGGAACTACATCGACGGCAGCTAAAGGGTCTACACGCCTTTTGTTTCCAATCCACTTTGCTCTTAAACACCCTCAGGGAATGATGCTAAGTTCCAAGGGGGAACGGAGACCTGACTCAGTAAGGCAATACAGAGCACGAAACAGTAACGGAAAGCTTTGTAAAGCGTGTGTATGCAAGAAATACAAATGATCCACTGCTCGCCACAAGCCGGCGATCCAAGCGGAAATACCCCTTAGCGCATGTATCAAACAGCGCGCCACATTAGAGGCCACAAATAAGGGCATCCTTTTCTTGAAAATTCCCCGCTAGTGCAGGTTTTACAAGAGTATACTTTAAAAATACCCTAACCCTGAACCATTAGCGTGTTATGCGGGTTGCCAAAAAGGCCGCGTATAGCTTTTCTTGTGCACAGAGAACCGAGTGTAAGAAATTTTCAAGTTCATCTGGTTTCTCAATGAGTAAAAACCAACATCTGATTGAAGAATCGTCCAAAATGACAGGGTCAAGGAGGTGCTGCGATTGTGGATGAGTAATAAAATATTGTTTTTACTTCATATAAGAAAGAAGAGGTTCTGCCGACCTGACAACATCCAAGTGGAGGACTTCCACTAACCTGAATAATGTTTCGGTTGAGAAAAATGAGGAGTCAACGGTAGAGCCATGAGGTGAAAAGTCAGCAGCTGAAAGCACTGCCATGTTGGATGCCGAAAGGCTGAATACTTCGGCGCACATTTTACCCCTAAAATACTTTTATCGCCATTTTTGTCGTGAAGTTATTAAATTGAAGAGATCTTAGGACAGCCTGGTTGCAGGTGTATGTAATTGCAATAAGGTATATTCGAAATACGCTGCAGTAGTCTGGTTACCCTAAATTCAAACTAATTGGGAGTGTACAGGCATGAATTTTACGGCCTAGTCTTTCATTGAATTTTGAGCTACTCAAAATATGGATACGACTCACTGATTCGGAGTGCTTGAGTTTACGCATTTATTCCTGTCAGGAGTCGGGTAGCGAAAATATTATCAAAACCGAAGATTGAGCTCTCGTAATGAAGAAAGCTTCCGCCAGCCAAGCGCTGCTCAGTTGGCCCCTGAAGCTGAAAGCGAGACAGTGGCATTATTGGAATGGGATTGTCTTAACTGCGGTCTTAGATCTAATATCTTTCTCATGACCAATCTATAAACATAAAGTGCAGTTAAAGTTTTCTTATACCTCTACGTTATGTTTGAACTCCATTTGAGCATACTACCTAAAATTATGATAGATATTTTACTTCGGTAGAGAGAGGGATTTTCACGCCTTTTAGTAGAAGTCTTGAACTATTTAGGGTTTCGCTGGGTTGGTATCCAACATACATTCCTTGCACCACTTCTCTATGATGTATAAGGCATTTTAGAGGGGATAATCTTACCGCTCTACTCCAAAACCTGTGCGTTGCTGATTCAACGTGTTTTTCCTGAGTCCCCACAAAAAGGAGATAAAATTGTTTCTTGGAGGGTGCTTCTTGTGTTGTACCTGGTAATTGCCCATCTCAACGAATATGATTCCATTTCTCAGTAAAGATTCCACGAGCTTTAGGTTGGGCTATTCAGCAACTATTTTCTGAAGAGCCCTTACTATATTCTCGAAAAAAAAATGTTTTTTTAAGCAGGATAGACTTTGAGGAAAATACCAAACGTGTACTCTTTTGCATCTTTCTATCGACAGTTTCGTACTTAGAATAGGCGTGTTTTTTCCTCGAGAGGTTGTTTTGGGGTAGCTTTTGGACATTGTCGATATCGAGTAGCCCTTCAAAGTTTTTCAAAAGCAACGAGATTTGACTAATGAGCCAAAAATTCAGAAGATTCACATGGCTGGCTTCACTTCCTTCTGGAATAAAGAAAACTTTATCCTTGGAGCATGCATGGAGAATATAGGTATCGCGTCAGGAGACTTAATAAATTGTTTATAGCAATGGAGATGTCTCCAGCTACCAGCGGAGAATATCTGTCGCCAATCATTTATAGGTTGAGAACGCTTTGAAGTATTTCGAAGCCCTTAAAATTATTATAAAAGTAGTTATTTATTTAAATAATTATTGGAAAAAAATATAAAAAATAAGAGTTCTTTGAATAATATGCTGCTGAAAAAAAATGTTCCAAAACCTAAATTTTCCAAAATAAATAGGAAATCTTATTTAATTTTAATTACTTTAAATAGAGTATATTTTAAGTTAAAAATATTACTAAACATAGAATTTTTTAAGCAAATAATATTAAATTCTCATTCCGCTTTTTAAAATTCACATTTCCCCATACCTGAATGCGGTGATTATTGGAATCGGATACAATAACACGATTCGTATTCGATACAGCTATGTAATGTGGATGTTCAAGTTCACCTTCTAAAGGACCAAGCTTGCCAAATTTACCAACAAAAGTGCCATCTGATTGAAATACCTGAAAAGATTACAAGTAAGTAAAACGAAGAAAAAGAATAAGAAGTAGAAGAAGATGAAGAAAAATAGATGGTATGAGTATAAGCAAATAAATAATGTGTCGAATGCTGATTATTATGTCTACTTCCCCGCCTCCCCTTGGCACACCAGTGACCTAATGTCTGAGCAGAGACATTATAGAATTATAGAATATATACGAACACACATGCATATATAGGTACACATACATCTATGTATATAAATCGCTTAGCTCGTTGAGCCTTTTCCATCAAATGTGCAATGCAAATATCATCAACCACTTTACGTTTGTATGTATGTAAGCAACTGTTGGTACTTTAACCACAATTGTTGCTGGTTACCATACCGTTGCTACCTTATAATACATAGGCATACAAGGATTCATGTCATTTACACAATTACATACGGACATACGTAGGAACATCCGTGCAGGGAGAAAGTAGACTAGTAGATAAAAATTCTAGTTGAATACTAGTACAAAGCTTTTCAGTCGGAGTTGTTACTTTGATATTCAAAGATAAATGGAGTTTTTTAAGTTTCGAGAAACTTTGTTGCTTGTGTGGCAAGTAGTGTCGTTTTGTCGGAAGTAAACTATGTCAGATCAATTGCGGCCATAAAAAAGCATAAATGATCTATCGATAACACAATTCATTCACCGTAACTGTTTTACACCTGCGGGTTGGGTGTTCAAAAATTTACCCGCGGTAAGGCATGCCTGTCATAAGAGGCAACTTAAATCCAACAGTTCCCGCAACAGTCGTGTCTTTATACTGGAACGACCCGGATTTATATTCGCCCAAGGACGCGCAACATTCGGCTAAAGACCCGCAACATCCCCCAAAAAGTACTTTGAGGAATATTTTTGTGGCTACAACAACAACCATAACTGTTGCTTCATCTCCATTTTCGAAAAGGCAAGAAGCAACGAACTTCGCCAGATCCTAAACCGCACCAAAGAGTTACACATTGAGGATGGAGAAGCTCTTCAACAGTAAATCTTGGGTTTTCGGAGCCTCAGATATGACAGTTTTGCTTATTGATGTAGTCACCAAGGTGGAAATGGTCCTTATCAGTTACTTTAAGTATTCCATGAATTTTCGGTTAATTGTTAAGCATTTCAAGAACGCAATTACCAAAGACACGACATTGTTGATGATTGGCCGTCTTGAGTCCTCGTGTTAACTGAACTTTATAAGCTTTAAGACCCAAGCCTTTATGCGAAATACGTTGTAATGACGTTCGGGGAGTGTTCAATTGCACAGAACCAGAGAAAATGGACGAATCTGGATTTTTCCTCAACACTTTGGCCTACGCCAGCAATATTCTCAATTGTTGTTGAGCAACGTGCACGTGTTTTATTCTTCACATCACCAATTTCTGTATTGCGGTCCGACAAGATGCTTCGCGACAACCCAAAATTTTTTTTGTTTTTCGAATTGTCTGCGCAAGTTTTGCAATATTTTTATAAGGAATTTTAATAATTTCTTGTTGTTTCATTTTTATTACTGACGTAGTTCATACCAGTCAAACGTCAAAGTATTACAGTCTCAAAAGTGGCATCTATCTCTCATAACACTACTCATAGGAAACCCCTTTATTTTGATGATGAAAACATACCAACTTGTTATTTGTATAACAGTCCATCAATAACGGTAATAATAATATTTTCCACCATTGTTGTTGCTATTATACCTAACACGCCCACGACTGAGCTCCATTCTCCGTTACGCTCTGTTGAAGTGCGAAAAATGGCTGTGATTACTTTATCGTTACGACAGCCGAAAATTTTCGCGACTCGAGTCTCGCTGTAGGCAAATACTCTTTAAGCTCATTTTTCTTAAGTAGAAAATCAACATACATAGAACAGTTTGAAGGCCATCACCAGTTGCTTATATGGGAAATAGATAAGGGATGAACTAGTTAGTGCAAAAATGCAAACTAGTTGTATTCAGTCCACAAGTAATATTTTTCCCTACAGGGAATTTCAAACATTTGCCTATTGAGGAGATTGATTGGACGAAGATTTGAATTTGTTTCGTATTGGATTATCTTGAAATCGGTCAACAGAGTTGTGTGGACATAACGAAAATGCAGCATTTTTTTCTAGAATTCTTTTGAGAGCAATGGGATGGCAGTTGCCGGTAGTGATGATTAATTGCAAATACTTGCAATTTTGCAATATCGTGGTTGTGGTAATATAGTTTGCATAAGATTTGGACTCATACGAATTTAAAACAAGCAGTTTTTACCTTAGATATTTATGAATATTGAATATTGAATGAATAATCAAAAATAAATACTAATTTAGTTTTTAATCACATAAATGTAAATACTTAGTAATTGTTATTGCTGCTTTTACTCTTCGCTTACCTGTACTCGATGATTTTCCTTGTCACAAACATAAATGAAACCCAATGAATCGGTGGCTATGCCCCAAGGATAATTGAATTTGCCATCGGTAATGCCTTGTGAGCCAAATGCACGCAAAAAGCGTCCTTGTGGGTCGAGTACTTGTATGCGATGATTATATCTAAGGGAAAAACAAAATTATTTATTTTTTTTACTAATATCTGCGTAAAGTAATGACAATATTTTTTGTTAAAAATCAAGGGTATATTTTAAGAACTTTTACTTAATAATATTAAATTTGCAATAAAGTTATATCCATGTTTTTTTTTGCATAACCTTGACGCTATTGGCAAAAAATTGGGACACTCGACTTTCACAGACTTGTCTTGTAGTCAGTTCTTTGCGAGCTAAATCATTTGCCAATAATAGAAAGAGAGGATAAGCAATTTGTGCAATGTTCGTATTATAAAGTGGTTACATAATAACCGCCCAATCAAGCTCTCGGAGTTTCAGGCGAGTCACCATCGATGTGTGTGTTTTGGCATTATCCGGATGAAACACATGTCCTCTGCTATGAGACAAAATTGGCGATATCTGGGCGAATTTTTCATCTACCAGTTCAACTGGCAACAGTACGGGTCGGAAATTTTCGCTGCAAGAAAGCAACTTATGGTGGATAACTCCTTGCAAATATCATCAGATTCACAGCTTTCCAGGCTCCGATTCTGGCTTAGAAACTGTTTGCGCCGGCTTACTACCCTTCGACTACAACCATTTTCGCTTGCCGTTGCTACAAGTGATCCACTTTTCTTCTCCGGCCACCATCAGAATCGAGATACAAATCTCTAAAGCCGACTATACCATAAATATTGACTACTTTTCCTAAACTTAATACACTTGAAACGGCCGAGATCCTCCTCAAACTAGTAGTGTGCGTCTAAATGTTTTATTTTTTCGAAAAAAGGGTCCTACAGTTTCGAATGGCCGATGGATTTTTATTTAATTTTTTTTTTAATGTATTATAGTTTTGAATACTGGAGGAACCAAGTTTCGAACCCTGCCTTCTGAATGGTAGTACGCAAAGCTAACCACTCGCCTATTTTGGTTATGAAATTTGACCTTTTTGGGCTAGCCTCATATTTCCATCAGTGTTAGGCTTCTGCGATTTGTCGTGGAAAAACTTAACCTCCTCTTATTGATATCTTTTCTTTTTTTTTCTTTTTTTGAAGAGCTTGAAATAAACTGTTCGCAGTTAATGCAGTCTTTGAAATCGTCTCTAGAGCATCACCGGCCGAACGTTTCCTATGTTCATATTGAAATCATTTTTCGTCGTCCGTCATGAGTCTCTACAGAAGTTGTGACATCTAGTTATTTCTAGGCCACCTCTTCCCATAGTGGGGTTGGCAACCCCGCCGAATTCTATAATTTTGGGTATTTTTTAGTTGAAGCCTAGTAAGTGAATCAAGACAATCATCTCCGAACGGCTAACGGAGTTTTATGAGGAGCGTTTAATTTATATCAAAAACACACTCGAAGAGAGAGATATTGGTTGTACCGTGACTGGGGTCCGTGTCCTTCCACAGGGTAGTAAGCAACTTCGTGAATTCTCGATAATTTCCACTTTGTCCCTTAGCAATGGCAAAATGACGCTGCGAAAGTGAGGCTACGCAGATTCATTCTTCCCGAAATCCCTTAATAATAATCCCTTAATCTTAGCAGGGTTAGAGGATATAGGGTTAGTGGGTAAACTGTGGTACCTGTAGCTTCTGGAATTTTTTGTTCCTAGCCTCTAGTTCTCATGCGGTTTGATATTTCAAGACTGATATACAGAGGTGATGTTAGTTCGGTTTGTACTTTCGAATAGACTAGCATGTAGCTATGCATCAATCTTTGCATATAATACAAGTGTATTGATATTGAAGAAGGAAATCGTTTGAACCGCTCTTAGATCTTATCTGATTCCAAGAATTAAGATTGTCTGCAAGATCTAGTGGAATCCTCTATACCTTCTGTTCTCTAGAATAGATCATTTCTATAGGTCATCCTGACACTTTGGGAGTCAGTAGAACACAACTTTTGGGTCTATAGCAAGACTACAAAGTCCTTAGGTGTAAGTGGTTGTGGTCTTTATAAATAAAATATTTTCAATCCGATTATTTCACAGTATTTATAACCGCAAACTCTCATACAGATTCCATTTTCCATTTTATCCAAAAAAGTGTTCATCATTTACGCCCACTTAAGTTCTACTTTATAATTACACTTATTGTAGAAAGCAACAACTTCAGTAAATAATTTCGATCCACTCTTATTTAATCGGCTCAACCACTGCTTGCTTTCCGCCAAATGCTGCTGCCGGCGGGTCAAGTAACAAATTCAATTACTCGCTTCGTGTTGTTGTTGCTGTTTCAGTTGCTGTTGCTGCTGTTGAATACATTAGCAGGCGAGACTGAGTTTTAATTACGTGGAAAACAATAGCTATGAAATACCGACACCCTTTGCCTTTCGCCCTTCGACTTCTCGATTGCAAATAAATTGTCGAAACCGAAAGTTTTCCTCATTTCCGGCGTAAACGTTTGCTGAATCGAAATTAATTTTGTCATTATTATGCCGGATTAAAAGGCTCAAAGTGAGATGTCTACCGCACACGCTCTTCACCCTCCTCTCTCTTTCCCTCTCTCCCTCTCGTTTTTCAACGCGAGATGCCAGATTGACGCGCGGCCGCCAACGGGATTTTCCACAACATCCATTGGCTTTTACTTTATTAACGCCTCCTTTATCCGCTTAAATTTTCGCACGAGTCAAATACACCGTCACACTGAGTAAGCAAATAGTAAATATTCTGGTGAGGTAGAGAGAGTATCGCTAAGTGAATGTTTGTCTAGGAGCGCGTGCGTGTGATTGTGCTTATGTGTGCATTCAGTTTACAATATTTGCCATTTGTCTGTGTTAATTAAAAAGTTTCTTTGACAAAGGATTTGCATGCAGCCGACGAACAATATCTGTATACATGTCACTGCGTCTCCTCCGACCCAAATCAGTACCCACTCCCTTATATTGATACATAACATACATAACATACATTCAATAATTCTGCGTACTCACCTATCTGCTATGATGTATTGTCCAATGCGATTGATCGCCACACCGGCCAAGCAATCGAACTCGCCTTCACGGCAACCAAATTCACCGAAGGATTTTACAAATATACCATTCGAGTCGAAAACTTGTACGCGATGATTTGACGAATCGGCCACGACGAAGCTATTGTCTGGACCAACTGCTACGCCACGTGGCCATGTAAAGGATCCGGGCTCGCTCCCCCGTCCCCCCAATTGGAACAGCTGCTGACGTTTACGCAAGTATAATTCCCTAAGGGAAGTACCTGCTGCTCCGGTTATACCGGCTACTGCCGCTGCTGCTACCGTAGGGGAGGTAGGGGAGCCTACCCCGTTTTTTGAACCGTCATCATCGGATGAGGCCAGCTCATTGGCCTGCCGCAACGGCAGCCCTAAACTTAGGCGACGCGACACGTCGCTGGCGTGACTACGACCGGCGGCACTGCTACCGCTACTGCTACTGCTACTGCCGCCAACGCCAACGCCAGCGCCATGGCTATGCGAAGACGATGGGACAGCTGAGGCGTTACTGCTGCTAGTGGACGGTGTGTCCTTGACGATCTTATTGCCATATTTATTCTTTAAGTAGCGCGCCCAGGAGCTCATCGCTTCGCCATCTTTGCTATCCGCTGCGGCGGACGTGCTAGAGCCAGCGGCTGTGACGATAGCTGGACGTGTTGGACGTTCGGTGATGGGTGAATTGTCGCGTGATTTTAAAGCATGCGATGAACGACTACGTGCCAAATCGCTACCCCCATAACCGGAATATCTGTGGTGTTGAGGAGAAAAAAATGCGAAAAAATTTTTTTAGACATTTTTTATAGATATTCTGTGAGATTAAGGATAAAATTAAATAATATCAGATACCAATAATAAATTATACATAAAATAAAAAAATTCCTATTAACTGTAAACAAAAAGTAATGTTTTCAAATTTTTTAATTTTAATTTCTTTTTATTTTGTTCTATTTTATTTTTCCCATTTTATTCAATTTTATTAAGTTATATTTTATCTTATTTTCACTTTCTTCCTTTTATTATTCCAGATCATTTTTTCTATTTAATTTTTTTACAATCTTTTTATTCTTGTTTTATTTTATTTTATTTTATTTTATTTTATTTTATTTTATTTTATTTTATTTTATTTTATTTTATTTTATTTTATTTTATTTTATTTTATTTTATTTTATTTTATTTTATTTTATTTTATTTTATTTTTTTATTTTATTTTATCTTGCTTTCTTTTATTTTATTTTGTTTTATTTATATAATTTTATTATATTTTAAATAATTTTATTTTATTTTATTTATTTTTAAGTATTTTAATTAATTTTATTTTATATTATTTGAAATTATTTAAATTTTTTTTATGAAAACTAGATTTTTCTAATTAGAGCCTAATTTTTAAGAGTTATTTTTTCAAAATTAAATTAAAATATTTGGTTTTTAATTCAGTGCTGATAGCTCTCGAGTAATCTTTATTATTAAGTTTTGAAAGAAATGTAATAAAATCAAATGGTTTTGATATTTATATTTTTCAAAATTCGAAATTAATAGTCAACATTTGTTATTAGAAATTTAGTATCAAGTTCTATTTAAAATTTATTTAATTTTTATAATTTTTGTTTTTGTTGCAGCTAAAATTTCTAGCTGTAAAAGCTGAATTATTTGAGCTTTTTTACTAAAATTTCGAAAATATCACAAAATTTATGTTTAATATTTTCTCAAGCTTATACTTATTGGACGTTAATTATTTCGCTGGTGTTAATGCCAATAAAAATGGGCAAAAAATATATGAAAAAATTTTGCAATATTCTAACAAAAATCCAATTACAGCACAATTATGTAAGAAAAAATATATTAAATTTTGAATTAGTGTCAGTTTAACAAAAAGAAATGCTGGTTTGCTTGCTTTAGTTTGTTTATCTAACAAAAAACAACAATTATGACAGTAACGTATGAAAGAGAAGGATGGTGAGCGATGAGCACTGAACTAAAACAAAAAGAACGTAACAACATATGAGCAATATTACATTTATTGCATAATAGTATGTATGTATGTGTAATAGACAAGGAAAATTAATTAAAGAAAGAGCAAAAGACTAGAGTGAACAGAATGCGCTACCAACACATCAATGAAAGCATTTGAGCGCTTCAGGCTATATACTATAATAAATATACATATTATATATATATACTATGATATATTAAAATATTGTTTGTATTGAACTAAATTTTCATGTATTTACAATTGATCTTTAAATAGAATTTTACGTTTTGAAAAATCTATGCAAATCAACAATACTTGCTTTTGAAAATATTAAACGCTTTAATGTAGGCGGGTATATACGATGTATTATATAAAAATTGATGCTAAACAAATTTTCAAATATACATACTCAATTAGTATTTTAACAATTTTTTTTTTGTTTTCACAAAAAAAAATTTTTTTAACTATAATTTTTTTAATGATTTTTTTGTGCGCACCTTGAAGCCAAATAAGCAGATGGTGATGCCGTTGTCGGCGATACCGGCTCATCTAAATCGTCGTCATCGTTGCCGAGCGCATGCGATGAGCGGCTACGCGCCAAACGGCTGCGTCGCTCCTTCATCGCCAAATAGCGTGAACGTCCGGTGCCATAGCGTGAGTCCGAATCGTCACCAGTGCCGTTGGCATCCTCATCGAAGGAGGCGGTGGGCGTGGAGAGCGATGGTTGTGATACAATAGCGCTGCTCTTGCTTTTATTTAGAAAGCGGCTTGTGTAGCTGGAAAATTACGTTTTTAATTGATTCGTTTCTCTTGCATTTTTCATTCTTTTACTAACTAAATTAAATTTGCTTAATTTTTTCACACTAATTTCGTTTAATTTTGAACTTAAAAATTTTGATTTCTCTGTTGCCAAAATTCGAGCATTTAATAAATTGTAATACAAATTTAAATTAATGGAATTTGGTTTTATTTTCTATTGTTTGCAAACAAAAAGAAACATATAATTGCAGATGATAATGAGAATTAGCTAATTGTAAATTGTTAGAAAAAATGTTGTAAATAATTTGAAGAAATGGGTTCAGAGGACCACGCAAGCCATGCTGGTACCGTTAAATAAAATATTATGATAATATATACATATGTTATTTTTTTAGTAAATAAGAGTTATATCCCTTAAGGGCAGTACTTTCTACTTCTCACTTTTTTCTTTTTATTGTATATTTGTATAAATGTAACTTTGTACGATTTTTTGAACAAAATTTTCATCAGCGCCAAGGCATATGTCACACTCTGGGGATACTTTACTAAGCTAAAATGTCACATTTTGGGTTCGGAGAATTCTCAAATAATTGAAGAGAGACCATATTACCCAAGAGAATTTACTTTTTGACGTGACTGGACCTTACTTCTTTCAAAACGACACCGGCGAGGCTATCACCTTCAATTCGATACGTTCTAGTCGTATGATAACTGAGTATTTTGGCCTGCGGTTGAGGAACACGACTTAGGCAATAAGTGGTTTCAACTAGATGGCGCTGTATGCCAAACAACAGGAGCTTTCTGTCTAGGGGAGTTTCCCTGTGAAGTAATATCTCGTCTTGGCAATGTCTATTGGCCACCGAGATTGAGCGATTCGACACCGATTCCTTTTTTTTTTTTGTGTAGACTGTGTTTATGCAGATACACCTTTAACTCTTGAGAACTTGAAAGCCAACATTCGACGAGTTATGGCGAAGATACCGCCAAATATGTATCAAAAAGGGGTTGAAAATTACCCCAAATAGATCGGATTTTTGCATAAATTCGGGAGCAGCTCATTTGAATGGTATAGTGTACTCACACACAATGCCAGGGTTCAAACTTTTTTAAAAAAGGAAACTCCCGAAAAAATAATTATTTAAAATTTAGTTTAATTAGGTATATTTTCGAAGCCGCAAAGCGTCACTGCAGACAAAAATACCAATTGTTTACTAGAATCGAACTATTTTACATTCTTACATCAACTAGAACTATCAATTGTCAGTCTATCCATCAGCTTCATACAAGTTGAATACCAGTTTATGTATATTAGTGCGCTCATACCAGTTGCCCCAAATCAGCTTGCGTACTAGACAATTACAAAAATTCTACTATTCTTCTTAAGCCAAAAATAAATAAGATTGATTGTATTTGTATATTGTATATGTATTTGTTTATTTAAATATAAATAAACGGTAGAACGGATTTTTAGAAACTTGTTATATGTGTTTTCAGGTAGATTTGAGTATGGTTTTGAAGTTGACTAGGGAACGACTTATTTGAAGAAACGCTTAATTGGGAAAGCTCATAATTTTTACAATTGAGCAATTTATACAGAAAACCACAATAATAAGTGGTTGTTGTTGTTGTTGTAGCGGCAAGTCTAACAATTGGTGGTCGGATCTTCTAGTTACTTATGAGTTATAATAATAATAAATATATTCTACTATAAACTCGTTTACGTTTGTCCTTTAACTACTAGTATAATTCCAGTTTACTGCAAACTAGTATGCTTTCGTCTTCAAAATACTAATATATAGCTAGAATTCTTGCAGGAGTATAGCTTGGTATTATTTGTGAATTTATATGAATTTTTCTGTAGTTAAATACTTTTTTCTCCGCTGTCGTACTAGACAATTTTTTTTTTTTTTTTTTTTTTTTTTTTTTGAAAATTTATATAAAAATAGCAGCAAACCACATTTTTTTCTTATTTTAATAAATTTTGGAAAAAAAAATTGTTCATTCGTTTTACATTTAAACCTAGTCTTTTAACAGTTATTACCTTTGGTAGCATGCAATATATTAATCATATTTAGAATTATAATTTTCAATACTTAATTTTGGTAATACAAATTAGAGCCAATAAAAATCAGAATTAAATTTCACAGGACCAATATTATATTCGTTAATTATGGACCTCCCTTCTGCATTTAAGGGCATGCAAAACTTATAGTGTTGCGTGTTTAGTTATATAATATTTCGTCGCCTTTGGCATTTTCAAACATTTAACACGTTTTTAGAATAAATTTGGCTTAGTGCGTGTGAGTGTGGCGAATAGTTAGGTAAGCATTAAGCAGGAAAATCTCATTTTCTTTAACTACATGTGCCTATATAAACTTATTATAGTCGGTATATATAGTATATACTACTTTTTAGTATATGTGTTTGTATGTGCGCTTTGTGCTTTGTAATATGAAAAGTAAGTCTTTGACAAACAAACAATTTCTCTAAGCTATTTGGTATGCTGTGGCGAATTTTCACACTTTAGCACGTTTTGTTAGTGTCAAAAGTTGGTGAAAATGTTAATCTTTGTTTGTTTTCAACAAAGTGTTTGGCGTTCTGGTTGTTGCTACTTTTTCACTTTTGTTTTTTTTTTCTGTTTTTACTTTCATAAAGACTTAAGCCAAAAGCTATGTATGTGAGCGGTTTACTTAACGCACTTAAACAAACGAAATAATTTATGTATACATACAAACAAACATATACATATATATAACTAGTTTGTTTGTTAGTTAGCATGTTCGTAGCATATACAAACAGCTAATTGAATAAAACCGCAGTTAAATTGAATTTTTTTCCAACTCAAATTTCTTTCTGCGTCCTTTAATTGGTTTACTTAAGACTTTTGTGCAGCACTTTCTTAATGCCGCGACAATCACCATCAAAGCTTAACTAATAAACGGTCAACATTTGTATGCTGAAACGTGACTGTGAAGTTCAAGGAATGTTTTTCTCATTTTTCGCTCACCTACAAAAGTTTAATGGACGGTGTGTACAAGGCCAAAGGTGTGAGTATGTGGCTGGAGAGTGGCAGGTTTTGCGAAATCTCATAAAGTGTGAGTAAACCTTTTATATGGGAACTCGCGCTAAATATCAAATGTGGCTGAAAAACCGAGAAAAGTTCCTACCGAGTAGAGACCATCAACTCTTTCCTTAGCGGAGAAGAAGAATGGGCGGAAAGTGCACACATCGGTAGCAATGAACATATTCATATCTATATTGATGGATGCTCGCGGTAGCCGTGTGGCTAACATTGCGTACTGCCATTAGAAAGGTTCCGTTTCAAATCCCCGTGCGACCAACATCCACAGGTTATAGAAAATTAATTTTAATAAAAAATTAAGTTAAATTTTCTAATTGTGGTCGCCCGTCGGCAGGGAATGTCAGCCCCTCCGACATGAAATAAAGCTACTCATAAAAAAAACGTTAGCCATTCGGAGGCGGTTTGGTATGAACTGTAGGTGCCTCCATTTTTTGGAAAAACATGAAGGCGCAAAACCACAAATTGGTGGAGGAGCTCGGCGGACAATCGCTCCAGCAGTTACAAGGCTTTTCTTGGCCATTCCAGGACTCAAACCTAGTCACGTGTGTTTTTTAGCGGCGCTAGCACTAAGCTATTGTGCCCTGAAGATGAACTAGTCATAAAAAAAATTTAATCTTGCGTGATACTGATGGAAAGGTCGAAGTCTTGACACAACTTAAGTCTAGTCGCTGTGCTTGTGGTCCCTTCCGTAAGATATTGTAAACCCAAAGATATCCTGAACCAGTGAATAACAACTTTAAATATATCAGACAATATGCTTACAAAGTTGGATTTCAATAGTTCCTTATGAGCATATTAATATCTCTTTCCCTCTATCCTTCCCTCTATCTCTATCTCTCTATATCTATATCTATATCTATATCTATATCTATATCTATATCTATATCTATATCTATATCTATATCTATATCTATATCTATATCTATATCCATATCTATTTCTATATCCATATCTATATCTATATCTATATCTATATCTATATCTATATCTATATCTATATCTATATCTATATCTATATCTATATCTATATCTATATCTATCTATCTGTCTACCAAACTCAGCTCAGTTAATACCATTTGGACTGAGAAAAAGCTTTATGCACCATTAGAGGAAGTAGAAGTATCATATATTGCATATATAAATAAGATAAGACAAGAAGAGTTACATCGAGATATCGAGTTACGGACTTGTGGCAACTAAAATAGGGTACTCCTTCTTAGCTACCCAACATATTTTCTTAACAAAAAAAGGGAGATAAAAATTTGTGTCACTATTTTACTAAATGTCACTGCTGTGTATTTTCAAATAATTTCAAGGAAGTCTAATTTAAAATATTCCGCTTTCAAAATGCTTGTCCCTTCAGACGAATTTTGTAAAAAAAAATAAAACATTAATTTAATTTATTTTAGTGAACTAAAATATTAGTACATTTATTAAGCTTATTTTTTATTAAATATAAAATATATCTAAAATCTTTTGCCACATTTTTTCTGAACCTCACAGCTTTCGTTTGCTATTATTTAAGATTAGCCTTACTATTTTGTACAGAGATTCTTTGGCCATAATAAAATTAACAAATCTAAGAGACAATCACAAACGACTTAACAATTGTGTTAGGGCTAAAACAAAACAGAGTATCATCACAGGTTAATTGTAAACATGACGGTAATACAAATACAACAAATTAACAAACAAGTTTTGAAATAACTTCGAAAGTAATTTTAATTTAGTATTCGGAAAAGTAAAAACTTAAAAAAAAATAAAATTAAGTAAAAATAAGAAAACAATTTCGAAATGGCTCGTATGACTTTGTATTGTATATTCGTGCGTGAGTTCGTGTGTGAGTGCGTGCGTGCTTGCTTGCATGCGTTGAATTTTCAACTGATATCTCGTATAGCATCCGCAATCCGTTTTCGATAGCGTGTCCGTGGTCTA